TTTTATTGAGAAGAAAGGTTTATTTCAAGAAAAAAAAACTAGTGCAGTCGATAGAAATCATTGAGGTAGTGGCGGAGCTAGGAATTTTGGACGGGGGGGGGGGGGAGTTTGGTGGGCAAAGTGGAAAAGCTTTTGTCGACGGGAAGGGGGGTATGATCGCCTCCTCGCATCTCCTAAATCCGCCACAACATAAAGGTCGACTGGAAACAAGCTTCAGTGCAAATCCTTTCACGAAAAACTCGAATTCTGACCTAAGATATCCTACGTCAAAATTAACCCCTTTTAATGATGAAAAATTACTAGACCCGAACAGTGTTTGGCAAATAAAAATGAACCAATTAATGAAATATAATACCTAAATAGCTGGTATTGTTCAGTTTTCAATGCTCTATCTCTTGGTATGTTGGATTAGAAAATTTGGTTGATCTATTATAGGGCTAGAGGGCTCAACTTTTCGAAAGCAAATTTTGATGATTTTTCATAGAATTCTATGAGTACTACAAAGTTGGATAGAGCTAACTTTTTACCAGCCAATTAGAAGACGCTAAAAAATTGGATTTATAGGTTCCAGACATCGCTGATTAAGATGAGAATATCAAATCAAAAAAGTAAAATTTGACCCAGTGTCTCGGTTCCTTAGTCAACCGATGACTGCTCTCTTAAATTCTCAAAAAAAAAAATAAAAAAGGGAAGAGTTTTTAATTTTTTTTATCCAAAATGATTTTTTCAGATAATCCGAAATGGTGATTCGATTCGAAATTGATTCGTGAATCCAGAACAGTTCTCAGTTACATCAGGACAGCTTTGATTACGAATTTTTCGCGATAGGTTTCGAAAGAACCGGTAAAGGAAGTGTTTTTGAGTTTTTTGTTTTCTTAAATGATAGTTTTATTGCGAATCTGAGACAGCTATTCGATTTGAAATTCGTTACAGAGATTTTAGTAATACAGTCGTTTCCTCTGTAGAGATGTAAAAATGACCTAAACTTTTGACAGAAGAAATATCAGCAAAAATTCTCTGAGTCTTTTCCTTAGAATGATATCCCCTACATGTACCCAAAATATCAACGAATATGGTGTGAATTAGTTGAGGATCTTCCCTCGTAAATACATTTTTTTTTGTTTTTCTTCTCGACATTCTTGGCCTATGAGATATAGAAGAAAGAGTTGTTCAGCGATGAAATCGGTCCTCTGCGAAAATGGAGAAAAATTGAGTTTCTCAACAGCCTCATACTCAATACAGCTGCTTAGAATCGATAGCCATGTAAATCAAAGTTGAAACCAGATCGACAAACCGTTACCTGGATGTTTGTACTCCATTATGCTGCTGCTGCCCAATATAAATATTGTACAGGGTTGATAGCGAGCCATGTTTTATCGGTATAGGGTTGGGACCAAGACGGCGTGTATATCTTGAAACCAGTTGGAGGTTTTGATCTTCATCCTTTTTTTGCTGCTTGGATCACCTAAATCACTGTCATATCCCAAGAGAGCACGCATTTTACCCTACTCTCACCCGTATCTATAAGAAAAAGTCTTGAAATTTCTGACCGGTGATTAGTCAGTATGTTTTCAGCATTCACCCATAACTTAGCAGTGTAGGATCTTTTTGTGCTAATTAGAGGTAGTGATTTTGACTCAACTTATCATGTAGGTTAACATGTTTGAAGCATTGAAAGTCGAACTCTTTTGGTATTGTTGCCACATTTCTATTTTGCGGTAATTCTTATAGATGAGTTTATTGTAATCACCACGGGAGCAAGCAAATGAAGAGCAACAACAACACAATGGACAATAATAACACTGCGTCAGCATCAGACACTGTAGATGATAATGATGGAAAAACCGAGAAAAGCAAATCTGGCGTTGGAGAAAGCTATTCGAAAGTAATTAAATCAGCCGCAAGTTCATTTCAGCCGATACTAAACATGTCTATTAACAATACGAATAGTAATAGTTTTCGAGTTTTAACATATAATTTATGGTGCCACAGATTAGTGGGTGGTCTACATTCAGCTGAAAGATTAAACACTTTTGCTGCCTGGCTGTTAAATAATTCCATTCAGTCCTATGACATTATATGTTTACAAGAGGTATTTGTATGTAATCCGTTATTATTAAATTATGGTTCTGGTCAACGGGAAAAGCTAATAGAAACAGTAAAATCCAAGTATCCATATAGTTATACATCCGATACTCTGTGGTTTGGTGTGCAAGATAGTGGATGTTTAATTTTATCTGCTCATAAAATAGAGCCCTGTCATCAGGAACCATTTAGTGGCTATAGTTTATCTGAATTGATTACTCATAAAGGCTATATGTGCTGTAAAATTACAATTGCAAATAAAGATATAATTTTTATTAATACTCATTTGAATGCAGGGATGAGGCAAAGCTCAGCTAGGGTTCGTGCAAGGCAACTTGAACAAATCAATGATCATATCATTACTTGTCATGCTGACCATAGAGTTATATTATGTGGAGATTTAAATATAGAATATGGTTGCACAGAATACAATGATATGATGACATCTCTATTTATCAATAAATTAACGGACTCCACTCCCAAAGCTGCAGCTACATACGCCCGATTAGTTCGTTTGGATTATATTTTAACTAGTCAACATTTTTCTCCAACAGGCTCAGCTGTAGTCTCAGCTGATGAAATAAATCAAAATGATCCTAAATTAATGGTTTCAGATCATGAAGGCTTAGAAGTCACACTTAAATTCACCAACGCTGAGCCTTCCAATCCTCAGATTACAATAGTTCCGCAACCCAACAATACTAGAGCAAGACAAATAAAAGGATTGGCCACATTTCTCGTAACAGTGCTGAGCGCCATCATATATTATTATCTCTTTCAATCACAAGATGGCTCTTATAAATAGCCAAATTTATTATTACATCAATAGTGAGACGACTGTTGTTTTCAAACCTTGTATTAATAAATAACTAATAAAATATGCATAAACATTGAGTCCCCATTGTATTGAACAGTTCAAAAGATAGTAGCAAAAGGAACCATGAATGGGCATTATGTTACTGCTAGTATGATCAATATTTGTTAAGGGATGAATAACTAGAAATCCATGTATTTGATTAATTAGCTGTATTAACCCTTTACCCCCCATAGCGGTTCCAGAAGAGCCACCGATGAAATAACTTTATGAATAGAGTATTAGCCTGTCAAATATGCCAATGGTGTGGCCTAATCCACCGAATGCCCTGTTCCTGGAGTAGGGCG